GTTGAGAGATGGACTTGAAGAAAGAAGCACAAGTGAAGGTTCCATTGGGTCTAGGAGTCCAAACCCTCTTATCGGGCTTGGAGGGATCCAAACAAACTTGATTAAGACAACCAAGCAAAACAGAAAGAGAATCAATTTCATCATCCCTAAGTCCTCTGCGAAACCCCACCCTTCTTAGCATCCACCTTCCCTTTCTCTTCCAACCACATCTGCTCTATTCCTTCAAAGTACCTAGAAACTTCCCCAATCCCAACAACTTTGAGGTAACCCAGGAAGAAGACATCCCAGCACCTGTGACTTTCCCATTGAACCCCTCTACCCCCCATCTCCATCAAAGCCAGCCCCCTTTGCTTCTGAAACCCTCCCCACCCTGACTGAAACTGTGTACCTGAGTTTAGTGACTTCCCCTATTCTTTTGTTACTGGAATCTAGGATTGGTTTCCTCTTTGTTTGGGTACAGGTGGTCTCCTCCACCAAACAGAGTGCTTTTTCAGCCCATCTTTCCTTAGACCTAGAAAAGGAGGCAGGCTGCTTTGGAGATGTACGAAAGCAGTTATTAGTTAATTCATCAAAAAAAAAAAGCAGCAATTAGTTAAGCTTAATTTTGACCAGTGCAGCAAGATCCCATTGGATTTGGACTCTCCATAAAGGTAAAATTTGCAGCAGCCCCCAGGGATTAAAATTGGCCAAGTCTCTCAACTGCAGAAACTTAGAAGTAGAAGAAGACACAAAAGTTGTAGTTAAATGGTTGGGAAAAATTGGAGTTATTTCCAAGGCAATACAGGGAGATGATGAAAGAAATTAAGTCAGTATGCAGGGACATTTATTTCAAGACTGAGTGGATACACAGATCTGCCAATGCAGTGGCAGACGGATCAGGAAAATAAGGGGTTTCTAGAGGGGACTTGTATTGGGGGACAATAGGGCTTATCTGATGTAATTAAATGATTTTATGCAAGGATCAAGTAGCTTGCTGACCTGATTTTACTTTGTAACCTTAAATTTCTCATTTTAATAAAATGTTAAGTTACCAAGCAAAAAAAATGCATCACATAATATTATTATATGGGATACCCGCACCCATACCCATGTCTAGGTCCTCTGGGACTTGATGACATGGAGAGTTATATCCCATTCCCCATATCCATGTCCGTGTCTATACCCATATCTGGGTATAATAGAAAGCCCCAGGTTTGAAAATTACCTATCAACTAAAAAACACAGAGAATAAACCAAGTTATAACTCTAATAAGATGCTGACAAGTTAAAGGGGGTACAATCATGGATTCATAAGTACCTAATCAAGCCCAATTTAAAACTAATTTCATAACACTGCTGCCATTGGCTAACATACCTGAAAGCAAAATCTCCCATTTTCATCAACTTGTTTTACTTGAGGTTTGACATTTTCAGGTCCATGTGTCAATGCTACCTGGAATTCAATTACAAGTATGTTATTTAACTAAAAATGAGCTTCATGATCAGTGCATATAAATAACTAGTTGAGTTGCATCTGTTGACATAAAGGATGTACTAACATCACCTTAGTCCTGTAGCCTGCACAAACCATCCGAACAACACCACAAATATCATAATAGACTGCTTTAATGTTTTCAACGGAAGCCATGTTAGGCAGAACCTAAGATTTCAAAAAAGGGACGTGTGAAAAAAACAGCTACAGAAAAACTAAGATGTAAAAACTATGCATAAACAATGTTTCTTTCTTAATTCTCAGAAGATGAGGCAACTTTAGCATCTTAAAACTGCAACTGAATTCCATTAATATATTTACCAAGAAATTCTCCAAATTATTGAACTTGTAATGGTGCTTCTCAGCTACTATTTTGTATCGTTTGGATGTAACCTGCATATATTCAAAACTCAGAAAAGATTACATATAATCAAAATATGGGATATTATGACAACACTTTCCCAGCCATCACAACTTGAAACAACTAAAGATGTCAATACCATTCCTTTGCTTTTTTTTCTCAAAGAGAAGGCAACAGAATTTCATTAATAGAAAAACAAGTACATGAGATGATGCACAATAGAAGCAAAGCAAACAACAAGAGAACTCAAGCATTACACAAGCAAGGATCTCTCACTATACATAATCTCCCTATGAACTACTAGCCTTAGCTAACTTATCTGCCAAAGTGTTTAATTCCCAAGGGATCAAGGTAATAATTTTTTTTGATGAATGGATCAAGGTAATAATTGCATTCATATTCAAAAAAAAAAGGTAATAATTGCATTCGTGGCAGCCAAAATATCTCTTGCCTTAGCCAGATAGTGAGACATCCTGCAAGGGCCACCCTCTGCCTCTCCTGACCAAGTGATGATGAATTCCTGTATTTTGGGCAGGAGGCAAAGTATTTTTGTATTTTGGAACAGTAACTTCATTAATGAGTTTTCTAAAATAGAAACATAAACCCCTAGTATAGGGTGTTGAACTACAAAGCTGCCCAAAACATATTCTCCCTAACTACCCCCTGTTCTACTAAAGTATCTGCTAGCCCATTAGCTGATCTTCTTGTCCACTTAAAGCAAGCATCCACCTCCCTTGTTAAACTGTATATTTCTCTTATCAACTATCTATGCATCCAGGTTCCCAAACATCCTTATTGCACCCATCCAATTACCAATTTAGAATCCCCTTCTATTTCAATTTGGTGTAGCCCCAACTGTTTGGTGAATCTTACCCCTTAAAGCAAAGCCATGACCTCCGGTCTCAAAGAATCTCCCACTCCTATATACATAGCAATTATTCTGCCTTCTCCATCTCTGAATACACCTTGAAGCAAAGCCATGACCTCCGGTCTCAAAGAATCTTCCACTCCTATATACATAGCAATCATTCTGCCTTCTCCATCTTTGAATACACCCCCTATACCCGAAGGACCTGGATTACCTATAGAGAGACCATCAAAGTTCATCTTCATTCTTTGTTGTGTTGGCAGAGACCAAACTTCCTGTACTACCGGCTTGAAAGAAGAAGTACCTGCCACAGCACCCCAATTCCTGTATATATCTCAGCTAAGACATCTTTAAACAGATCCAGTGTTTTCAACCAGTGAATAACCTTAACCATACACCTATTATTTCCTCCTTGGATCTAAAAACTCATTCTTAAAAATCCTATTGTTTCTTCCCTCCCAAACTGACCAAAGCATAGCTGCTCTTGTAGCTCTCCACATGACCCTTCCATGCTTCTTCGATTGCCTGAAAAAATTTGGGTCAAAGAGGCCCACCACATAGAGCTATCAACCCCTGGGGCTTTAGATCTATCCATTGAGAAAACAGCATTTTTTACTTCTTGGACCTCAGAAGGCTTTTCCAAAGATTCCAGCATTTCTCTATTCCCCACCCTCCAACCCAAACCATCTAAACTTTCCCTTGGTCTACCTAGGGTATGCTTGTCTAGTCATAGTTTATTTCTACTTAAAAATTTAGAGTCATTGCCGAAGTCATTTGAGACTTGTTTAATTTTCTGAGTCAAAATTCACCAACAGCAGAATTGCAATTTACTTTTCTTGACCAACCATATAGTGTCTATTTACAAATATCTAAGTGTAAAAATATGGCTAATGAATGAATTGAGTTATTCTAATTTCTAGGTTCTTTCTTTCTCTTCCACTGGAAGTTTTCTAGCCAGCTCTATAGTCATAGAAGACCTCATGAAAGCCTTCAACAACATCTATTCAACATCCCTAAGAACAAATATTGATCAAGGTATATACTTCGATTCAACATCAGGATTGTCCTTTTATCATATTAATAGATACACCCATTCAATTCTCTTCTTCTTCTGACATCAACCTTACTCTAACAGTTTATGCAAAAAATTCTGAAGAGAAGAATGCCCACTATTCATAAATATTCCTGCTGAACAGCACCATACATGTGTTTGTATACTTTTTTTTGTTGATAAAGAGGAACTTTGTATTGATTGTGGTAAAGGAATGCTATGTACAATATAAGAGAGTCTCCCTTGTTAGCCTAACCTACACTATCTAATCCCATTTCTTACATATGCTCTGCTTCTATGAGTTGTTTTCACCATTGACCCCCTGAAACAAGTATTACCCATGTACCCGTTGTTTAGCAAGAAATCTTTTTTGATCGGTTTACTTAGCAAGAAATCTGCCAAGAGGCTTGCTGATCTAAGTACCCACTTAATAGATACAACAATTTCCCTTGCTAGTTGTTTGACTTCCCTCAAAATATGCCTGTGCTGCCAGGTTCATTGTCTATCCACCTTTAACCACCCGACTACAGTCCTGGAATTTCCTTCTACCACCACATTTCTCATGTAAATAAGTAATCTTTACCCAATCTCAACCCTTGAAGAATCTCTAGCATCTCATCCCTTGTGGAGTCACTGAATACAACAGGACCTGAATAAATAGCAACATCTCTCTGATAGTTTCTATATACTCCTCCAATTCCACTCCTTTTGAATAATGATTCTAGAGGAGGATGAAGAAGACACAATCAGCCACAATTTGAGCAATGTACTTGTATACTGCATATTAAACTAAAGTGATACCACTCTTAATTAGCACCAATTAGAAATTTCAAGAGTCAAGAGAAATTGCATAACAACAGCATAAAGTGGTATCATTCTTCATACAATTTTACCTTAACTTTTCACGGGGGGGAAAGAGAGAGAGAGAGAGAGAGCAATAACAACAATAACAACATAAAATGCTCTGTGCACATAGTTAGCATTTAGTTGCATGAAATCAATGAGCTAGTATGCTTAGAAAACTGATAAAAAAAACCATTAGCGAGGGTCTCCATTATTTTTGTTAATAATAACTTAAATTTTACGAATGCAGCATGAGTTCCATTTGCTCTACTACTATTATATAGTAGGAAAAGGAAAAACATTTAAACATCTTCAGCTTAAACTCACAAAACCAAATCAGCTTTCCTCCTTATTCCATGCACCAAAGATGCCAAACTTACAAAGAAGAATGTTATCAAACCAATCAAAGAAAGAAGCAGGATGTTATCACGTGCATACGAATATGACCAACAATATTAAATGCTCCCCATTTTATTCAAACCACTCCAATAAACAGGTTTAAAAAGAAAATAAAGGGAAGACGGGAACAATGACATGAAAGAAACAAAAGCTCTCATTGTAAAACAATAGAAAAAGCTGCTCTAAAACCAACTAGTGGAGGAATGGGCTCATAGGATATCAAGGATAATTGTAAGCCATTTGCTTTCATCTTGTCGGTTCCTGTTTGCATGCATTCTTACCTGGTCAAGCTTGTAATATCCTTGTTTATCTGTGATAGACCTTTCCTGACCATCAACTATTATTTTAACACCATCAACTCCAACACCATTTCCATCAATTACCCGGCCCCCAATAGAAAATCCAGTGACCTGCACAAAATCATAAGGATATATGATGATGCTATGATGCTACAAATAATGTTAATGGAAATCCAAAAGCATATGCAGTAATTGGTAATTGGACTTGATATTTTGTTCTTTTTTCTGTTCTTTTTTATTTCTTTATTTTTCTTTTTTCTTTTTTTTTGACTAAAAAGTTTTGTATTAAAGGAAAAGGAAAAAAAAGTGATCTTCAGACTTCATTTTTTACTGAACAAGATTAAATCAATTCTCTCATCTGGTAAAAGGATTTACATTAGTCATCTTCACAAATGCTGCTTAGACGTCCAAAAATTGTTAAGGAACAAAGTTTTTTATTGGAAACAGTAAGTTTCAATCAAAGATTAATAAAGATAGTGCAAGAGACAAGCACCCAAATTAAGGAGTGCTGTCCCCACAGACTGCCGCTTACAAAGCAGCCTAGAAGGGTTCCCCATGGCTGACTGACCCTTCTTTGGCTAAACTGTCAACCAAACCATTGGATGATATGATCTTCTAATCCATCTAAAAGTTACACCACACTCTCATGGCTTGTCTATGGGTCCAAATTCCTAGATTCAAGGATAAAAGTATCGGTGTCGAGTACCGTATCAAACAACTTGGATACGGATGCGGATGCGAATACGGATACTGATACGGATACGGATGCGGATGCGGATGCGGATGCGGATGCGGATGCGGATGCGGATGCGGATGCGGATGCGGATGCGGATGCGGATGCGGATGCGGATGCGGATGCGGGTACGGATACGCTTTGGAAACGCATGGATACGAACAAAAAAAATGGAAACACTTAGATACGATGGAGACACATACAAATTCCATAAATATATTAATAACGCTAAATTTAAAATCAAATAGTCACAAATAATGTATAAATACAGAGGAAATGTACATTTTAATGGTATATTCGTATATATGATAAAATATATTACAATTAATATAGCAGGATGCATAAATATCACACAATTTTATTGATAATGTATCAATCAAGAGTCCAAGACACATAACATATGCACATATTATATTTTAATTATTATATCAATTATTTTCTATTTTACTATTTTTAATTTTTTACATTAACCAAAAAGTCAATTAAATATTGAATTCTCAAATGTAAACTAGAATATCAATTAATAATTTATAAAAAATATAATTTCAATTTAAAATATATCAAATCTGTTAAAATTTCTAAGATATAATATGCAAATTTTTAATTACTAATATAATTATTACATTAAGGACAGTTTTGTTTCTATAGTTTTATCTAAAATTAAAAATCATTTTTTGGTATAAATGTTGATTAGTAGAGTTAATAGATTCTATTTAATATTATACTCTCAAATGTTTTCTAAACATTTTTTTATTTTTGTAAATATTTAATATGTTGTTATTTAATGTAATGTAAATTAAAATATTAATTAATTAATAATTATATATATTAATTTTAATTATTAAAAATAATTATTTTATTATTAATATTTTATTTGCATAAATTTCTAGAGATTAAAATCATCTTTTGGTTTTAATGTAGATTTGATAGATTATTTATTCCATAGGTTTATAAAATATCAATTTTGAATACTGTTCTTTACAACTTTTAGTTAAAATTGTTGAGCATAAATATATCATTTATTTGAATTACATGTACTATTTAGATGTTATATGTAATAAAAGTTATTTTATTTTAAATATTTACACAAGTGCGAAGTTGCCTAAATGGTTGAGTTGTCTTAAATGCACCTGCCATCTAGGGAGACTTGGGTTTGAGTCACGCAATTGCCTTTAATTTTTAATAAACAAGCTCGCGTGCTCGCACATATCGGTCTACATCGCATGGTATCAAACTGATATGTATTGATACAAGGCGATACGCGCCCGTATCAACCCGATACGGTCTGATACACACGACTGGCAAGATACACCTCTAGTCGTAGTGTATCGTGTGCTGGGTAAGGCCGATACTGATACGATACACCCTGTATCGTGTCGATATTTGAAAACTTGCCTAGATGATCTACCTGCATCCAACCTATTACCATCCTAGAATAGCCCTCCACTTCAAACTGTTGGAAACCCATATCTTTAGCCAATCTCAAGCCTTGAAGGAGGGCGAACACCTCAGCTCTCATTGGGTCTCCCACCCCTACTGGCCCCGAGTATAAAGCTAAAATTCTCCCTCCTCCATCCTGTAAAGCTCCCCCTACACCCAATGGTCCTGGATTACCAAGTGAACTCCCATCAAAATTCAGCTTGGTTCTTTGATGTGCATAGGTGCCCAACAATACACAACTAAGACTAAAAAACCATTCCTCACAACTGCATCTTTGGAATTGTGAATATGAGAAATGTAAATGAATATCCCATTCATTACCACTATATTTTGGGCCTGAACAAACCCACAATACACAATTAAGTCATTGGAGATGCATATTTTCATAGGAAGGCTTCATAAAAAGAGAATATTCTCAATTTCATATAAAAATGGAACGTGTTTAGTCAAGAGAGAAAACAAGAAGATCCAAATTCTAACTATGCAAAGCTACAAATAGTCCTTCTACCTGAAATTTTTGAGGGACTGTAATATGATGATGCCCAACAGACACCAACATGGTAGGAGGCGAAACATCAAAAACTGTATTCTCACCCTTGTAGTAAGGTACAAGCTCATAAACCCCTGTAAGGATGCTACAGCAACTGAGACTTGTTTCATATAAGAGGCAATTACATTTGTCAGGACAAATAAAGATGGCAGTTCCATATGCAGTCAAACATAACATACAAAACAAAGAATAAACAAATATAGCTTCCAACATGATCTCTAGCCAGACATCTCAGACATGTTTCACACTTGTATGTTGACATTAATGGGGTGTACGGCATTCATGTTCGAGATATGTGGCTATAGATCATGTTGCAAGCTGTGTTGATAGCAGATCCGAACTCCTAATATTGTACTGACAACTTATCATTGTTGAGAAATTAGTTTTGACGTCCAATAACCCTTGTTGTGCATGGGGTTCTGCTGAATTTTACCCAGATACTCCTGTGGATCTTTTCATCCAGTTAATAGGTAACATAACATAGAAGAAGCAGATGGATGTCTTATAGTAGTAAATGTGTGAGAATTGTTTAAAATGAAGATTGCTGCCAAATGTCATTCAATAGGTAAGTTTCTCTTGTGACATGGTCAATCTACTTTATTTTTGTCAATCCCCCCGGCAGATCAGCAACCAAAACCAATCTTTAATAATTCACTTAAAGAGTAGTTAGATGTTACAATTTACAGTATATGGGAGATATGCCTTGCATCCATAATGGTAGACCAGGTCCTCCTATCTACCCCAAGCATATTCTCAATTTCACTCTAAAATGAGTCTCCTATGAGACTGAGCCCCAAAGCAGTTGGTTTTTCCTTGCCTTGTTAAAGCATCAGCTACACTGTTTGCTGATCTTTTAACCAATTGATGGCTGAGTGCCATTTCTCCAATTAATTGTTGTAATTTCCTCGTGAACTTTCTGCATATCCAGGAACCTATTTAGTGTTCTTTAATCACCTCACAACCACCTTGGAATCTCCTTCCACTACTAAATTCTTGTAGAAGTAATTTAGCTATTCTCGGCTAGTAATTCAGTCCTTATAGAGTTTCCATATCCTATAGAACTTAAATATATGGCCATTATGTTACCTTGGTTGTTCCTAAAGGTTCCCTCCCCCCCATACCGGACTCTCCAAGATTATCTAGACTGCATTCATTAAAATTCACTCTGATGCTGTCATGAAAACATAGGATCCATTCCAAGTATAATTGTATAGCATATTCCTTGCCGAACAAAATCATATCATACTTTGTCAAATCTGATAAATGTCATATGCAGAGTAGTGAGCAAGCACAGCTATAGACTTCACCCTATGTGGTGCAACTTTTATAGAGATAATTCTCAAATAAGAGCTTCTTTGGTGCAGTGCTTATCTTGAAAAATTCTAATATTTCTTTATTTTTTATTGCTAGCAAAAAATTCTTTGAACACAACCTCCTTCCCCAGCTCAAAAAATTGTAATGTTTCTTTCTACCCGAACTTTCCAAATCACCACAACCCTAGTGCATCTCCATATTACCATTCCTCTCCTCTTGGATAGAGAGAAAAGGTAGCTCTTGAAGAGGTCTCCAAAGTCCAAAGCCACTGGGGGGTTCACCTGCATCTAAAATGGAAAAAGAAAAAGTTCCAAATACCTTTACATTCAGAGCTTTTTTTCAGATAAATACAGAAGAAAATTTATTGATAAAAATATTCAGACTTCATAGCTAATTTGGACCTCCCAAAACCAATTGAGTAATATTTTTGCCATGTATTTTTATATAACATTATTAGAAATATACGTTAGCAAGTGCTGCACTCATCCAAAAGGTTTGAACATCAGCTATTTTTACTTGATTTTACCAAGAAAAGATAATACCAAAATCTGATCCAGATCCAAAATACATCCAATTAATCAGATTCAAAATGAACTCAGATAGTGACAGATAGTCAAAAATGCATAGTCAGGTTGAATTTGGATATATCTAAATCTGATACAAACTCAACCTATTTACAGCTCTACTTTAACTCAGCCAAACCTGTCTAATAAAACTCAGTTGCCTCTGATCCTTCAATGTTGATTCCGATTATTAGCCTATGCTAGTCAGATATTCTAGAGGAAAAGTTATATAGAATGTTTATGGTTAAGTGAACTCCAGAAGATGATGATGGCTCCAACATTGTTAAATTAAACTGTTTAAATAAAGTAACTGTCATCTTATCTAAAACTATATATAGCATCTCTTGCACATGTTGACAAAATTCATACCAGGCTATCAATGGACAAATAGCTGGAAGAGATCAACAAAAATGCAAAAATGCATATACAAGGACAAAAAATAAATAAAAGCACTCTATATACAAAGAAGAGAAAAATGAGAGATCACGCTGGCAAGAGTTTTACCACAAGGCATTGAATTAAATATAAATTTTCCATCTGCATCAGATATGGCATGGCAGAGAGCCTTTCTTTGCCAGGGGGCATTACCAGAACCATGAGGACAATTCACACTTTGTACATCATCTGAGTATAAATAAATGTGGACTCCCAAGATAGGATTTCCCTGCCAACAAAACATGATATCATTATGTTTATCAAGAGAAACCTACACTTGCACAAGGCCAGACCATCTTATCAAAAAATGTCGCTATTCCTAGTCTTTACTGATTTGTCCATTTCTAATTATATACTTCCTAGTCTGTCACTCATACATCTCAGCATCCTAATGTCCTAATGTCAGTTACGTCCATTTTCTGGATGTGTCAATTCTTGATTCCCAACACTATTGCATATAACATTACAAGTCTTATAGCCATCTTACAAAGCTTGCTTTTTTTGTCTCTCATATACATCATTTAACAAAACACATTATGTGCACTTCTCAATTTTAACCAATCCTTCATTAAGAATGACAAAGTGAAGGTAAGGGAACCAGTTACTTTGGATATATCATAATCATCATTCTTAATTGCAACCCCCCAGGTGGATCAGGAACAATGATCAAAAAATTTATTATTAATATATAATCTAGCAGTGATTTAAATTTTGAAGGCACATCTAGGCACACAGGCAAGGTGCATTTTAGGGTATGCACAACCAAGGACTTTAGGAGCCCAGCTGCTGACTGGGGAGATCTAACTTTCTTTGTACTCTTGGTTTTGGGCTTTAGTGGAAAGGCCCTTTGTAATTTGTATGCTGTTTCATCAATAAAAGTTACCTTACCTTTTTTCAAAAAAATAAAAGGTTCCAGGCGGAGTATTTTCAAAAAGTGTGTGCCTGGTGTGCCTTGCGCTTCAGCCCAGGCATGTGCCTTTTGAAAATCTATGCATTTTTTCTGTTTTTTTCCTTGTGTGTGTTTATCATCTGGGCAAGGGGCTCCACCCCCAGCCCCCAACCAAGCCCCTTGAGGCAAGGACAAACTAGTCCATATTAGGGTCTTAAATTCTTAATCCCTATAAAGAAGAAAGGTTTTATAACTTTAAGTGTCTTTTAAAAATATCTTTTATAAGGATGAATGAATGACCAACATTAGCAAATATGGGGTTTTATAACTTTAACAATGCATATAAAATGTAGAATTGTAGACAACATGTTTTTTTATAAACAAATAATGATTTAATTAATAAAAGAAGGAAGTATACATTCACCATAAGAGGAGGCACAAGATGTTACCTCCCCTTAGAGATGAGAACATAACCATATTAACATGTTAGTTTTCACATTAATTGCAATTAACCCAGAATTAACTTGATCAATTTACTTTCAGCACAACATCAAACCCCAGAATCATGAAGGTTTTTTGGCCCCTAGAATTTTTTTTTTGTAATTATAATACACATGAAGATATTGGCCAGATGGTTAGATCCTTGTTTTCAGCCACAAATAACCAGGATTCAAGTCTCACCATTCACATTTTACTCAAAATATACATGTATCAACCATAATCATCATCATTTTTTATCAATAATATCATCATCACCATCCATGCCCTATTTTGTAATTAAAATACACATGAAGATATTGGCCAGATGGTTAGATCCTTGTTTTCAGCCACAAATAACCAGGATTCAAGTCTCACCATTCACATTTTACTCAAAATATACATGCATCAACCATAATCATCATCGTCGCTTTTTATCAATAATATCATCATCACCATCCATGCCCTATGGCCCCTATCTCAACCACATGGGGTCAGCTACATGAATCCTGTTTTGCCAATCTGTTCTATTTAAAGCCATATCCACTGTCATGAGTTCAAATCCTACCCTTCTCACTTTAAGTTTCCTGTGATTTACTAACCCGGGTGGGTTGTTGAATCCGGCTGGGTCATTAAAACCCAGCTAGTTTTCAACACTTCTACTGAGGATATAAAAACCAGAATAGTTTCCAGTTCCCAAGTTTTTAACAGTCTGACCATCCAGTCCGGTTCAAGTCTTACAACATTGCCTAGAACCTCCAACAACAAACCCAGATGCCAAAGAAACATAAAAATATGTAATTTCTATACAACAAGAAGTTTTTGATAGAAATATAGAATTACCTGAGCAACAACAAACCCATGAATATCGTATCCAGGGACAAAGAAGATGTCATCTATTATGCCATTTCCAAAACCCAATTCCACCTGGCAACATTCTTTTAAGTAATCAGAGATATGCAGATGTAGGCATTATTAAAGAGAATCAGATCAAATACTTAAAAAATAAGAAAGTAAGGCAAGAAAGAAATTAAAAATATATATATACATATATATCCAACCTCTGAAGAACCTCTAACTTCAACATCAAAATCTGAATGTGAAGCACTTAGCTTGTATTTTCCTGCATCCACATATTTCCAGAGTCAAAAGAGCACCAAAATCCTAAAAATATATGTTAATATTTTCAGGAAAATCTCAACCCAAAAACCAAACACTAGAAGTAACAACTGTTTCACATTCTAAATGTGTATCAATCTTATATAATGAGCATGGCAACAGCATACCATGCAAAAGTTAAACAAACTATTAAGATAAGAATTCCTTTTAACCCTATTTATCAAAAAAAGAATTCCTTTTAACCCACAATCCTAAAGTATTTGTTGTAAGTTCAATAACAGTTGAATGCATCTCAGGTTGACAAAAATTTTATCAGCCATCCAACAGGACAAAACTATGAGAACTTCCAACCTGGAACAATGTTTCTGAATGAGTAACTTCCTACTGAAGATGTCAAAACAGAAGAAATGAGATCCCCCTGGGGTGACAAAAGATCAACTTTCACATTAGAAGGCCCTCCATCTTTCAAAGAACAGCTCTCTCCACCAACTGCTCCCATAATTCTTCCAGATATTGTGAACCTACAATACATAATTTAATTGAAGCTAAACATAGTATGACAGATATAAACAGAATATAATTCCCACATATACGAAACCAAATAATGACATAAACAGATAAGCCAAACCCTGTGAATCGAAAATTAATATCTGCATTTGCATTGCAACCATTTCGATCAATAATAACAGGAACCTGCAAGTAAAATCATGTTCCATACTTGAGGGCAAGCAATTTACAGTTAAAATATGCACAAATGGTCAAGAGAACAAACTTGTTTACCTGATCTGGATCCCATGACCATCCTTCAGGTCCCTTGACTTTGACGACAAAAGAACCCTGTCGGAAATAGTTATCATAAGAATGACAATTATGAAAATACTAATGAGTGTTAATCAAAATTCAAGTAGTTTGGCAGTGTTTATAAAGCCTTTTGAAAAAATAAGCAACAAAAATAAAGATGCACATAATTTGTTTTATAATTGGGAAAAAAAAAGACAAGGATGGGACTTAAAGATCATAATTCATAATAGATCATAATAAAGTTGTAGTATTCATGGATCACTTTTTTTCTCTTCTGAGGAGCGTTCAGAACAGTGATTGAAAAGGTGTGCCTAGGCACTCAAGCGAGGCACATTTTAAGGCATGGGCCTCACCCAGTCCCTAGGCACAGCACTTTCAAAAGGTACATGCCTGGTGCACCTATGAGTATGCCTGGTTCGCCTTGCGCTTCAGCCAACGTGTGCGCCTTGCATCCGAGAACCCCCTATTTCCTAATGTTGTTTATTCATTCATCTTAATAAAATGTCTTCTTAAAAGGCAATTAAAATTGTAAAATCATTTTATCTTGTAAAGGGATCAAGAATTTAAGACCCTAACATGGACTTGTTTGGGCTTGCCTCGAGGAGCTTGGTACAAACATGACTCATAGAATAAGGAATGCAAGATGTTGTACATCACATTAGCTATTTAAGTAATGCAACTGAGGAAATAAAAAGATTATGGATTTTGCATGCTTGAAAATGTTTCCCATGTTTGGTTTTATTTTTAAATTTTCATTTGAATACGCTTTACATGCTATGTTTATGTAATTTAATTTTAGATAATAGGTTTTTTATAACTTAAGTTCATATTTTTTATTAATATTATGTTTAATATTTTTTGCATTTTTTTTTAATTTTTTGGCAATCTTTTGAAAATTTTTGGATTTTTTGGTATTTTTGTGCCTTGCTTCAAAAAGGTGCACACCTCACCTTGCACCTCAGGCACAATTTGCCCCTTGCATTTTTTTTTTTTTGCACCTTGCACTTTTAAAACACTGGTTCAGAAAACTCAGAACACCATGTAATAATCCATCAGAAGATAATGCCTCCTTTCAGCAATGCTGTTACATCAATATTATGAACACAAAGAATATCCACTGCCCAAAGCAGCAAGTTCGAGCAGGCTCTTCTAGTTTACCACTTCTATATGTCTGAGAAGCTACTGTAAATAGTGCAGGATTGTGATGCACAACATATAAGCCCCTGCCATGGTCCTTGGAAAGTAATCAAAGTCAGTTGACAGATGGATGACGCACAATCTCCACCTCTCAATGAAATGATAAGAGTTGTGTGGAGTGGTCCACCTACAACTACTGTTTCTTGGTCATTGTTAATCCACATTAAACTACACCATCACCTAAGATTTCCAGGAATTATGTAGATGTGGCATGAATACAAGAAAATAAGGATATGATTCCATTTCTCAAGTATGAAGATACTTTTGATGGATAGAATGGTTGTATCAATTAAAAGAAAATACATAGCCACCTAACAATAATAGGCAGCTTTAGCTCATATTTTAAGCTACTTAACTTTTTCAATAATTATAATCTGTCAACTTCAATGAAGATTCTAATATTAAAAATAACTCCACAATATATCATTTATATTAGTACATATTTTTGTTGTTTAAAAATCAATATCTAGTGGGCTAAGAGACTTATGCATAACATAAGCATTGTTAGGTGCACTCCTAAATAATTCAGGCCCACAAGACTGTAAGACTCTGAGGGAGAGAGAGAGAGAGAGAGAGAGAGGTATGTACAAGTGGTGATCAGATAAAAGCACTCACTATTAGATTACCCATGCAACCGCTCATGTTTATCACTCATTGGCTTGAAAACTGGAAAAGTCTACAATACCATTTTTTATTTTTTTTATCTAATAACTGATAATCATGGTGGGACTCGTACAAACTAGCACTCCAAACATATGCGTCCTCTCCAAAATTCCTAGCCGGATAAACCAGTGAGAAGTTTCACATCATTAAATCACCAAACTCCATATCCCATCATGGCAATAAGCCGATAACTAAAGGTATAACCGTATAAGTAATCAGGAAAAGCATTACCAATTTTGGGATCTTGAAGATATGAACAATGATTGTTGCCATTTAAGCAATATCAATTTCAGAGTTGTTAGTAGGGTGTTTTGTTGTCCTTTTATTGGATTATGCAGATGTTGTTTGGGCTACAAGGCTCTTCCTGTTTTTGCTTTTTTAATAATTTGTTAATTACTTATCAAAAAAGAAATTTAAGCATACCTTCTATCAAACTCGAGGATAAGATAATATCCGATATAACATTTTCATAAACCAATAAAGGAAAATACTACCAATATGCATCATCATCATTGTTATTATAAGTGACGTCTACAGAGATATGAAAATAGGTATTTATGAAAGCTTAATAATGAAAGCCTAGAACTTATCACTTTGGGTGGCATACATAACATACATAGATATGCACGCCTGCTAAGCATAAATGCCCATGGAGATGTTCAATTATAAGCAGCATTTAATACAATAAGAGATTTATATTTTGAGAAATGGGAAACAGTACCTTGTCATATACTGGGATAAAGTAATAACCATTTGGAGCACACTGTGTCCTGTCTTTCACTAATCCATCCACCGTGCGAAGCTCTACCTGTAATGTGAAAAGGCAAGGTCAGGCATAGGAGGAGTGATGAGAAACAAAGATAGTAACATTATATCTTTGTACTCAGGTCCTGCGGGTGTGGGAGACTCTTTAAGGGACGAATTACTTGCTGCTGTACAAGGAATCCAGCTTGCAAATCAGCTAGGCATAGAGCATCTGATTATTGAAGGGGATATTCCCAGGTGGTAGTGGGTTGGCTGAAGGATCCGGACACTGTGACTTGGGGTTTTAGAGATCTTCTCAAAAAGGTTAAATGGTTAACAAGGAATATGACAATCAGAGTTCAGTGGGTAGGCAGATTAGCAAACTCATTGGCTGATTCACTTGCAAAACAAGGGGTTCTCCGGGATACTTTATTTTGGGCTTCAGTGTAATTTCTTTTGTACTTATAATTCTGTAACTAGCTTTAAAGGAAAGGTCGCATCTCGTGCCTTTCCTCGGGTTGCGTGTAACTCTTATTTGCTGGTTTAATAAAATTTCACTCATTTATCAAAAAAAAATGTGAAAAGGCAATGTCAACACTGAATTAGTATACATTGATCAACATTAGCTTCCAGAACGGCAAATATAAATTGCAACTCCAAACTGTTTGTAAGTAAAGAATCTCTTCCTGGAAATGTCAATAATGCCATTATCTATGACAAAGTTGGTTTTTAATTTGAGACAATTGTTTTTTAAGACTTCAAAACCACACCACAACATACTTCAATCACGGTTATGCTTCTCTAGTGTTATTGATCAATAAACTTGGAGGCTCTCATAGAAAGAAAAATATGTATACCTCCTTCAAACAATCAAACATGTATAAGTATTTAAGCAAGCATAATAAATCCGGAGATAAAATATACTGAAATGTTAAATCTCAGATTACTTGTAGATCAATATACAATGTGTTACGCGCAAAATACATCATACAAGCGTAAAAACATACCGTGATATGTGAATAATCCAATTTCGCATCAGTAGGTTTTCTCGACTTTATCAAAGACGAACTTGCCTGCAACAAGAATACTTTCTTATTATCTATTACTTACTAGCGAAAATTTAAATCATAGCATCTGTTGTATACTAATACAACAAAGAAAATTAGCAGGCGAATCAGATCAACAAGTTCTGATCTAGCGATTGAGAAGATAGGAATGAACAGGAAATGAGGTCGATAAAGATTGTAAGACAGATCAAAGCAGCTGAAGTTAAGAAACTTTTAACTGACATGGACAAGAGGGGATAATAAAGGAACTAACCTCGACAAATCCACCGCAGCCATGGATCGAATCTGCAGCAGTTGAAGTTACATGTATTGCAATTAACAAGAAAATGAGAACGTCTCTAAGCACCATTTTCATTTATCCCGGAGTTTAGATGGAGAGAGAAGTGATCAACAGCTTCACATGAAAATGAAGGAGAATTCCGTCTCTCTATGCTCTCACACTCTCTCTACTGTCTGAAGGAACAAGGGTTTATATGTAACCCACCGTGATTCATGAATACTGGTGCATTGGCTTTTAAAGTCCCAAGATCTAGCGCAACCAAACCCCAGTGGCCCCGCCGAACGCAGACTAATCAAAATCGGCTCGGATCCACCTCTATCTGAGTCAAATTAGGAGTTCGCCCACGGATAGATCACATTCGGTTCGGATAGAGATGTTCCCAATGCACGGTTGGGATGTGCTGTGGGACGCTCTCTGATCTATACGGAGATCCAATGCCCTTATATATACATGAAGTTTGAGGTCATTTATTTATATAGATGCTTATATATACCTGTTGACCTTTCATCCAATAATAAAACATAAGGACAAAAGCGTCTTTAAAAAATATCTTTCTTGTTTTTTTTATCAAATTCTTCCTTTCCTTCTTCCTCTCCTTCTTCTTTCTCCCTTCCTCTCTTCTTCATATATTCAAACAATGATGTAGCATGAAATTGCCAAACTCCTTGTTAGAGGATAGTTCAAACGAACGGGTTTATCAGGTCGGTTCATCGAATTGCAAGAAGGTTAGAATATCAAAGTATGCAGGGTGATAGACTCGAATTGGGCACTCCAATGCTTAAATCAACGATGAAAATGTTGATAGCAAAGAGCTTTGAAGAACAATAGAGAATAAAGTGCACTTATTGCGTGTACCTTATGAGGGCATGGCGTGGTCCTTTTATAAACTTCGAGGTTTGAATTTCATTTTCGAGATATCCGAGAGTGATGAGTCTTATCAATCCGTTATCTTTAGGGCATGTGCATCCCACGTTGGTAGTGATCCTCATCTCGACCCTCCAAGCCATACGGGAACGGGGCCATCTTAGAGGGCACATATAAGTAGTTCACTCAAACTTCAAGTATATACAAGTAATTGTCCTTGGGTGCAACTTGGGCGTGCTCAACCTGAGCCCAAACTGGCCCAACTTGGAATTTTACATGGGTTGGGTTTGGAATTTCGGTCCTTGGGCTGGGCTCGGGCCCAAGAAGTTGGATTTTTTATTTTTCGGGTCAAGCCCGGGCCTAACCCTTAGGTAGCCCGAGCCCGGACCAATTATACACATTTATACTTATATATGTATATATGTAAATGTTGCATACATATTTACATATATATACATACATATTTGTATATATAACATTTGTATAGATATTTTGCATACATATTTACATACATATGTAAATATATGAATATATATTTGCATAAATACATATATATATGTAATTTTAAAATGGGTTCATTGACCAACCTGAACCTGGCCCGAGCCCGAACCCACACTGAGTGCATCAAGTCACAAGGCAGGCTGGGTTCGGGTTTGGAAAAATCGGGCTTGACCTCAAGTCCGGGCCTTAAGCCCAAATTTTAGGGTCAGGCCTGGGTTGACCATAAACCCGGCTCAACCCACCCGACTTGCACCTCCTTAAGATAATCCCTAACTACAAAATGCTAGTTGAACCTAGTGGGTGACGGATTGGAATCAAAATTTGGCCTATCTTTTGACATTAAAACTTGATTCCAATCAAATTGCCCTTTTAATTTTTATCGAAAAGGGGTTTTTATTGCAATCTATATGGATGTAAACGAGTCAAACTACTCATCAACTATTTGAGCTCAACACGTATATAATTGACTTTAGAGCCAAGCTCGAGTAACTCAAAGTAGTTAATCAAGTGGAGATATCAGTTTTGTTACACTCGGATTCAGCAGTTCATGATACTCCCAACGGTTGCCACGAGTCGAGCTTTTCACGAGTTATTCGAACATTATATTTATTGAAGCCAGGAACACCCCATTGCTCAAAGAAAAAACAATCAGCAACCTTTACAAAGAAACATCCAAGCTTTAAAGAAAAAAAATGAAAAGAAAAATGAAAGAAAGAAGAAAAGGAAACTACTCCAAACAAGAGAAGCCAAGAAACACTGACAATAGATCAGCAAGACTAAGAAGTTTCAAGTTACGACCTAGCCCAAGGCAAAACCAATCCAGCGGGCTTTTAACCACCCTTGACCTAGCAAGAGGCTCAACTAAGCCATTAGCACTTACTACGCACCGAATCAAATGAATGGTTCAATGAGGAACCAAAAAAAGTGATTGTCTAACCAAAAGACTGAACTTTCAAAAGAAAAAAAAAAAAACAATGGTTTAACAGTCACCTTCTTCTTCAACATATATTTCTCATATATTTCAAGCAGGTTCAAGCGCTTGGATCAAAACTTTCAACTCGGTTTGGAAGGATTACAAATGCAAATATATAGAGTGCAAAACCAAAACCTTGTATTTTTTTGTATGTATCTATACTGTACATATTTATATATTTTACCTTCTTGTAATGCAGTTCAATCAGTTCATACTAAACAGATCGTTGATCTCTGTTGGAGCCACCCAAATACATTCAATTATACAAAGAAAATAATAAGTGCTCCCATAGCTGAGATGCAAAGGAAGAATGCAGTAAAATATGATTGGTAACCTCCCCATTCTTCAAACAAATGACAAACACGAGGGGATAGATACCAGCTGCTTTTTCGCTTCATTTGAAGTCTCTCAAGGGTGTTTATTATTTGATGGTTGTTTCCCAACATAAGACTTTTGGCTTTACCTTGGGAGGAATAGAACTCCCAAACTTCCCTCGTTGGAAAAGGATTCCCTTCAAAAGGTTGACGGAAGGTTAGAAGGAAAGAACCACAAAAGAAGTCCACGGACACTGGGTTCCCACACTCTCATCCCCTAAGGTTATTTTTTGTTTGAAGGAAAAGGTAGGGAAATATATACAAAGTTTGTAAAGGCTTCCTTACCTTTCCTTTCCTTACTTTTTCCTTCAAAGCAAACGCAGCTTAAAGGACAGAGGCTTATTTGTTGTAAAACCTCAAGAAGGCTGGTCACTTAACCCATTTTTTTCTCTCTCAATGCCCTTCTTAATTAAACCCAAATCCCAAATCCACCCACCCTCGTTAGGAGACATATGACCTATACTTATCAAAAGATAATAAAAATATATGAGGTGGCCTCAATTTGATTGCATTGCATCTAGATGGATCGACCCTAAGGTTGTGTTTGGTTTGAAAGAAAAAGTATCATTTGATTTAATGTTCCAACTTTTACTCAAACAAGTCTATATCTATATAAAGGAAAAAAGGGATGTGAGGGGTCATCTCATTTTTTACACTTGTGGTTCTTTGTTTTAAAATTAAATGGTTGAAATTATAAAAAGAAAATAAGTTAGATGGTTTGGGTCAGGTTAAGTGCCGATATAAACCCAAATTGATGCGAAAAACCAAAATTTACCAAGCAAAACCTAACTTCTATTTAGTCGAATGCATTGCATGGGTTTACTTGCTAGTATATATAAATATAATTGATATCAATTGGTTGCACTAAACACCGATGCAAGTATTCTTAATGGGACCCATTTGATCGTTGTTTCCAATAAGCACTTGGTTGTCACTCATGAGTTTGCCAAAGCTCAAAGCTTGAATTAATTGGAATTGCTAGGGGAACTATCCTGCAAGAGATCGTATGGAGTTTATAAGGTGATGTAGCGTGATCTGATAGATCTCACGTGTCAAATGACTTGGACGCCGAATCAGATGCTTGCCTTGTCGGTGGCTGAGTTAGGTTAGGCCGAGCTAGGGCTGGTCAAACTGTGCTATTCTACAAGAGAAAGAGTTAGAGTGCCCATGTTGTCTGTTTTCAGGGTGGGCACTTTGATGCTTAAATCAGCGAAGAGTTCTTAAGAATTTTAGAGGATTTAGAGAGTGCGAGAACTTAATCATGCGTATCTCTTCAGGTAGAAATGAGCTATTTATATAGGTGTGGGTGCTCAGAGACCTTCTTGTAATGGGTCTCAAGTTCTTGTAGAGCCATTTTTGTTAAGTCGGGAGAGTAATGACATTGGTTACGTAATCTGTGCAGTAGGCTAAGGTTCATCCAATTGGCACTGATGCATGTGATGCGGGTAGGCTAGGCAAACGGTCGACTCATTAATATTTCGGAGAACTCTGTTTGGTGACAGATCTATGCGACAAGTCCATGAGCATGCGCATGTTGCCAATAGTACTTTCTTACCTCGGCCAGTCCTAAGGTAGGTCGCTTCTTGCTCAGAGGTCCTTTAGGTCGGCCAAGCCGAGGTACTTTTAAATCGGCCCCTCGAGGTGCTACCAGTCGACTTACCAAGGTGATATGCTTACTCAGCGCTGAGGTGTCACTTGAACGCCATGTGTCATGATATCATTCAGAGGTCCAAATTACCCCTCATCACAAGGGATGGAGGAAATGAGCATATTGTGGGTTTATAATCTTGGCGAATAAATAAGCCAATTAGTAGTGGCCAAAATGAGAAACCAAACAATATGATAGATTCTTGAAATGAAACTTCTGCAAACAAAAACCAAGTTGTAGATGTGGCACAGTGGCTCCATATTTGCCACTAATGAAAGTTAGAACCATTTGCAAACAATTTCCTTCAATGTGATTTCAATCAATACCCATCTACAAAGCAAACTGAATAGACCTACTATAGGCAATGGAATAGCACGGGCAATAGTGCAACACACAATCAGCGTTTTTTTTTTTTTTAACCGCCCATAGGCTTCATATTTCATTCAATCAAGAAATTGATACAAAGAAATGCCAAAAAGGCCAATCAGAAAAACCCAAAAACAATTTCTCAAGAGAACAAAATATAGAACAATATGAAGGAGAACATAAAGAACTTTTGCAACCAAATAAAGGTGAATAAATGTCACCAACACAAGTAGATAAGCGCATCTCCAATCCACCACATATGGTGAGTGAATCTACTAGTAGAATTCCAAATGACTGCCATCGACGAAGAAACTACGAAAGGAACTCACCTTGAACAACATCTGTCGGAGAACCATGAACAGAGAACAAAACCTTGAGAAAACTCAAGAGGAAGCCTTGAGAAAAAACTCGAGAGGAAGGCTCTCTCAAAACAGAGAAAGAGAGAGAGAGAGAGAGAGAGAGAGAGAGAGAAAAAACCCTGAAGGAGGAAGGGGAAGGAAAACCCAGATGGGTGGCTCCTTTCAGGATTGCCTGAATGGAGCCACCCCCAAAG